ATTCCTCCTAAGCAACTGGGGGGAAAGGCAAACTGACTATTGTTTTTTTTGTGAGGCAAACCATATTTCCATATTTCTCAGTGAAACAAAAGTAATTTCTAGTTTTCCTCTGATGCATAGAATTCTGCATTCAAATAGGCAGTGATATTCAGTAATTGTACAGTGCTACCTTCTTTTTTTGGCCAATTAGTAAATAGATCTAGTGGGGGAAAAAAGGAAAAGCAAATAGAGAAATATAGGCAATGGAGAACATGCATGTTTCTAATTGAAATTTAAAATAATATAGGCAGCAGGGAAGAGCTGTGCAAGATATCTGGAAGTATCAGATGAAAAGAGAGACAGAAAGACCTGTTAAAAAAATCTAGAGGAGATACAGAACAGGACATGTGGTATATTATTCAAAGGGTAGTCAGAAGTGCTGACATCGTGTATTTTTTGAATGCAGTGCTGATGTGTCAAGTTATCCCCAGCACTGCTTCTCACCTTTGCACATTATTTCTCACCATCTTGTCGCTTCCATAAAACCTGGTCAAAATCATCTGGATTGGACTCCATAATTTGGAAAACCCCTTTTGAGTGCATAGTGTACAATAAAGTTTAGTGTTAAATACCATCCAGTATTTTCTTTAATTAAAAATATTATTGGTATGTGGTGCCTTAATCCTATTCCATTATATAGCCTGCATGGATGTTTTGAATTGCAGGGTTTTTTTAATGGCTATTTTGTATATTTCACCTGGCCCTTATATTGCTTTCTTTGCTCTACCTCTTTATAGTAGATTTGATTGTACTTGCACGAGCCATACAAGAAAAGTATATATACAAAGAATGAAATGTTAATGTGTTTAGCAGAATAATTTATTTTCACTCTAATTTAAAACTGAATGTTGAACTCAGCTTTTTTTTTTTTTTTTTGAGAAATAATGTTGGCATTTATATGTCTGGTTTTATTATTTTTAGTTGTTCTTTCATTGAAATTGGGCAAGAAAAACTACAAAAATGAAATATGTTTCATAATATTTGGAGAGAAAAAATATATTGTGTCTTTATGACAAATTTGTTTCTTCATAGGATCTTTCTTATGACCTATTTTGTCAGCAAGTTCTTGTATCTGAGAACATTATTTCTGTTGGCTAGACAATTTCAAAATGACAGAGTAAGATTAATAATATAAATACAGGTTTTCCTTGTTATATTGATTTATTGGGTCCTAAATCTCTGAACATTCACCTGTATTAGTCATTTTACTATTGAGAGCTATGACAAAAAGTTACTCAGATGTATGAGTGTTTACAAGAAGGAGCAACTTTGTTAAGTGCAATTAATTAGCAACATACAACAAAGAAGGAATACCTCCTGTGAAAGTATCACTATAATAAAACGTAATCCATTTCTAGGAATTGTGCAAAGGAGAGGTTTGAGAAATATCTTTGTCTGAAATGTGGTCATGTCCCTGCTTCTATTTCATCCACTTCAACATTTTATCCAGCATGGGTGTAGAAAATTTATTTGTAGAAAAGTTTTGGAGAAAAGTTACTTGTCTGAGGCCATAATTTCACATAGATTGGCATGGCTATAATAGTTGGGAGACTTGGATCAGGGTACTCATCTTATTAAGACTTCATATACTAGTTTATTTTTTTCTGAATGTACATGAATACCAAGCTGCACATGAGTGAGTAGATGGTATTCTCATTGCAAACATGTAAAGTACATGCGGGGCTGTGTCAGCACAAGTATCATTAGCAAATTATCAAGGTTTTTACATCCCTCTGGTGCTGGTGAAGCACATAGAATACTGTGTGCACTGGTTGGGGTTCCCTGCTTCCACAAGCTTCGGGAGGAAATGGAGGAAGTCTAGCAGAGGGCCCTCTGCTCAGAGTAGTTGAAAGAGATGGGCTTGTTCAGTCTGTTGGGGTGGAGATCCACAGTGGGCTACATGAAGGAGAGTTAGAGCACGGAGCAAAAGTCACTTGGGCAATGCTGAGTCATATAACCAGGAAGAATGGCCCAAAGTGCAGACCAAGAAATTAAAGTACAGCTTAATGAGGCTGATGCAGCACAGGTGCAGGCTGCTCATTGAGGTTGTGGAATCTCCATCCTTGGTGACTTTCAGGACTTGATTATTAAGCCCCAGCAGAGTTGAACTTCTATTGGCAAAAGCCCTTCTCTGCTCTCAGTGGGAGGCTGAACTAGTTCATCTCCAGAGATCACCTATAATAACCACTCTTCTTTTGCAGTGAATATTATTATGAAGTCTAAGACCTTTAACAACATTAAAAAGAAAAAAAAAAATGAATGAGTAATTTTAAAAAAAAGGTGACTTCTTGGTTTTGATTTCATGCTATGTAAGTTTCTAAGGTAGATTACGTGGCTGTTTCCTCTCCTTGGTTAATTTTTTGAGACTAGTTTAGATTTTACTGATACACTCAACTAATGATGATACACTCAACTTTGAGTGAGATGCATCTAAGCCTGAACAATGTAATTACTATTGTCATGTCCTTCATTGTTGTCATCTTCCCCCAGAACTGAAACTAAAATTAAAAAAAAATTAAATGAATACAAGTGTTTAGTATTGACCCCTCTTCCAGAAATATCTTTTCTACCAACATACAGCAATTTCACTACAGAGAAAATAAGTTGAAATAAGTGTCAGATCATAGCTTCTTAACAAAATTTTCAGATTTCTGTATTTCCATATAATGTAAATCAACAAATAATAGAGTGCCATGTGTATGTTTTATGTGTTGTGGTTTTAGAAACTGAGGGCATGCAGTCTCTCAACAATAGCAATTGAATATACAGCTCTAAACAGACTCTATAGAGAAATGATTATTGCTGTCCCTCTCACACAGGCTCTGTGGAAAGCAGGGCTCTGTACAACCTCCTTGTCGTGTTGTTTACATGCCTACTAGAAGTGGTTTGTGTTTTTATTTGTCTCTTAACCTGTATGTGTCCAGCACAACAACAAGGGTATCTAGTCTCCCCACCCAGAGGCAAACTAAAGCAGAGAAATTCATAAACAGAACCTTAGTGGTGAATTATCCACATCCACAAAGTCTGCTTCTTACCAGTGTACAGAGAGACATGCTGCTGCGAGTTTGAAATGATTCCCAGCTGCTGGAAGGCCTAAAAAACATCCCCCCATGAAGTCTCCTCGGGCATGCTGAGATAGGGGGACACCTGTGTTGCTCACAGATATGGGACCTTAAATAAACATCTGAAAAAGTCCAAAAAAGCTGCAGTCTGGCAGGGATAGTGCTGACACCTTTCTAGCTATTGACAACTTTCTGGCACTAGTCATAGCTGCAAGCCTTGTTTTGCAGGTAGACTATCTAGGCTGCTGCAGACTTGTAATATTGGCACTAATTTATGTTTATGAGGAAAAAAAGAGGGAAGCTAGTAATTTGTACTGTTGAGTGGGGACCTTTTGAAGATGGTGCTTGAGGGTGCCAAATATGTCAGGCAGACTCTTTGGATTGTAAAAAACTGGTGAGCAGTTGTTAGTAGAACACAGAGGATCAAAAAAGTCAGACGTTCAGAAACAAAGTCTCAGATTATTCTTCCTTATCAATCAGGATAACAAACTACACACAGGCAGGCAGTCCATCTCAGTAAAACCTCAGAAAGTCTTTGAATTAAATGTGAAAAAAGGATCTTCTGAGCTGGTTCTTCTGCTTCACTTCATGTTGTGGCAAGTGCACTTTTCATCAAGCAGTGAAAGAAACTGGCCTGACTTACCTGTGACCAGGCTTTTCGTGCTCTTCACTGGAGATTTTCTCGAGCCTGCTGTGGGAGTGCTGTTTCTAGTTTGTCACCTCTGCTGGGGACTCTAATGAGTCTGTCAATACCAACTTTGGCTACGTGTTTCAAGGTGCTCAGCTGTTTTAAATTTCATTCCTTTCTATCAGGCAACTCTATGGTGTTCTAAAAGTTGTGATCTACCTAGCATCAGCAGAGCTGCCTGGAAAAAAATTATTTTTCCTCATTCATTTATTTTCCCTCATTTCTCACGTGCATGCCACAGTCCCTAACAGTAGTAAAACCCCAGGGATTAACATGTTTAAAATACATGAAAGATGTAGGGTCAAGTGCCATTACAAGGTGGGTTACAGCTTCTTATCATTATGGAGAAAGTTCTAAATAGCTGGCAGCGCCACTGTGGCACTATAGAGGTCAAACTGCTCAGTGCACGCGTGTTTCATATTGTATTTTTCTGACATTTTTTACCTTTGAGTGAAGATCATAGTTAAAGTCACATCTTCTAATTTTAATCCAAGGTGGAGATAATTTCAGGAAGCTTTTGTAGTGGGCTTTTATTTGCCAGGCACGTTAAACTGCTTTTTATACTGATTTTATATTAAAATTTATTTACACACGTACGTGTGTGTGTGTGTGTGCCTGCGTGTATAAATACATATATAGATATATAGATAAAATAGTAACTGCACATTTAGAGACTGTATGTTTGTTATGATGGAGTTTAATTTCCTTCATTTCTATACTTGAGTATTTTTCAGAGTATAAGTGTACATTTGAATGACTGTTTGACTTCTCTTGCCTGGGAGGACTTGACAGTCTTTTATGAGAAAGGAATATAACTTTGTCACTATTACTGTTTGCTGCCTCCAATAGTAAAATATTAGCAGACTTAGACTTTTTATTTGAGTGACTGTTGTCACTGCAGTATTGTACATATCAAAATACAAAAAAGTCTTGTGGAAGCAAAAAGTCCTGCTACATGAATACAATCTGGAGTCTCTGAAGGTGATAGTTATATAAATGTAACTAAATATTTATATAGTTCTATTTTAAAATTCTTCCTGCAAAAATCCTTTTTTTTTTTTTTTAACTATTTTGCACCTTTTAAGAAATGTGTGCTGGAAATAGGATTGCATTTTTTGTGCTAACTTTGAGTTCTCTGAGTTTTGTTATATTTGGGTATAATTATAACATCTTAAAATAAAGAAATTATAATTTTCTCTTTTTCTTTGCAGAGTCACAGTGTACACTCTGTGGGGAGCCTGAAGGTGAGTGTGTTTTCCTACTAATATTTTTCAAAGCAGCTTGAGGTAACATTTCACTTTAATATTACTCATGTACAATAGATTGGAAATAGTACATAAATGGTGGAAACCAATGAAAGATATTCTACCTTATGTTAGATACAAATAATTATTTGAATCAAGCTGAGCACATGCTGCAGGCAGGGAATACCTTAAAGGACAAATATTCCATAAGAACAAAAATTAAAATATTTACTTTCATTGTTCTTTTGTGTGTTTTTCAAACTAATTTGACAGTAAGTGTGAGTGTAAAAAGACATTTAGGGACATCAATTTGAGTATGGAAATCATAGAGATTGGATGTAAAAGAGAAATGAAATATATTTTTAGATTTCAGATTAGATATTGCATTTACAGAGAAGCCAACACTTTTTAACAGATGTAGTGAATAAATACTGCTTCTGAAACAAACATGATTATGCAGCAACCTATGTAGTTCAAATACATGCCCACATAGCAGTGTTTGTTGGTTTGTTTTTTTAGGGCTTTTTCCAAGTGACTAATTGAATACCAAGATGAGACATTCATTTTACTTAAATGAATGCTCAAGCAATAAGAATATGATTTTTAAAGTATGCCATTATTGAATAAAATATCTCTATTTATTTCTTTATTAACATTGGTGCTCTTATAAAAAAATGGTGAAAGATTAACTTAGTTTGAAATCAACCACCTGGAGTCTTTCTGAGGAATAGAGTTCAAAATAGTCAGTGTAAATGGAGCAAAGTATATGAGCTAAAAAATAAAGTGATGGATTCTAGGCTTTTCACAAAGACATTCAGCTTTGTGTCTTGAATAGCTTCTGATAAAAAAGTTTCAGCTTCTAATGCTTTATAAATTTAGTAGGGACAAGTTAATAGGATATGAAGCCTGGAAGTGGAACCTTTGAGATCTTGCATCTAGTGAAATAACTCAGTAAATTAAATAATAATTATCTCCTTCTCTTTTGCTATCCACTGACAAATAATTCTTTTAGAAATTTGTTTTGACTGCATTCCTTTAATAAACAGTCAATTGTTCATTTTTAAATTTTCTTTGTCCTTTATTTAATAAATTTATAACACAGATACATGTATTAAAAAGAAAAATGAGATTGGTGTTTGTTTGCCTTTCATGAGATATTTCTCTCCTGATAAATCTAACCAACTTTAAAGTTATGCATTGGATTAGTTCTGTTTTATTATATGCTGTACCTGCTTCATAACAATAGTTTTCCTTTCTTTTCATGACTGCTCTTTCATATCTCTTCAGCTTTCTAAACATTAACAAATATACATGGACATTGTAAAAAGGGAATTTAAAAAAAAATTGTAATATTTTTTTAAACATTGATATGACTAAAAACCCACACTCAAAAGATAACTATATGTATTATGGTAGGAACAGGCCTCAAGAACATAACATTCAGTTTCTAACTACACAGAAATGAACTTTCCCAGGAGTGAAGGTCTCCTGGATCATCAGTCTTTCCTCTAAACCACAGTATTAGTGGAATGCTAATTATTAATTCTCTGCCTCAATTGAAAAAAAGAAATATTGATATAACTGTCAGATTAGTGACAAGACTTAGAATCTGAAGCTTTTCCCTTGGCAGATTAGCACAAATTCTTATCTAACACTTCTCATTCACAGAAGTTTGAGACTTTATTTTGTGATGAAGAAGCACTTGTTCTGGCTGATGACTTTAGTTTTTAGAAGGCCATTCTAAGAGAAACTTCATATCTCTGTTGTATAAACCAAAACAAAGAACAAAAACCCTCAAAATTATCCTTTTCCTGTGCAATGTTCTATAAATCTTGGCTCCACAGTACACTAAGAGAAGGGAAGAACTAAAAATCAAGTTTTTGCAGTGTTCTAAGTGTAATTTCTGACTTTTCTCTGTAGACTTCTCAAATTTGAGATACTTTGTGGCTTGTAGTTTGTATTTTTTAAATTAGAGGAAAATTCAGAGAGTATCAGTTCAAGTTTGATACTGCTTGCCTCCAAGTTCCTTTTTAATTCCTCCTTTTCAGATAAAAGAAAAAGAAAGGAAAAAAGAAAGTTCACCAAGTGCCTTAAAGTACTTTAGTAATATCAAGGTGAATTTGCAGAATTATAGGATAGATATGCCAGAGTGTAGTCCTCCTATGCTTTACAAAGTGTTTCCAAAGTGTTAAGCAGAGATTCATCTGAGAAACAGTAGATGTGGGGAAATCTCCTGGGCTTGGGTGAGAGGAATACAATGTTTCACATCTTATGTTTTCTGGGTTCCTTGGAAGCAGTTTATGCCATTTCTTCAAAGACCTGCAGGCAGCTAGGTATGTTCTGATCATGTTTGGCGTTCTGTAACAGAGCTGACAGAATGGAAGCATTTTGCAAGCCTCAAATTCTGATTGTCAAGTTGGTCACCTGTAGTCTCACTTCTCACTACGGCTCATCCTTTCTCTAACCAGCACTCCCATTTCAAAACCAGCAGTTTTGTCCTGGATTATCTAAGTGTCATAAAGATGTCTGTGTAAAACAGATCTCTTTGCTGGGGGCACTTTGACAAGTTTTCAGCTGTTAGTGCTGCACTGCAGGAAGCAATTGCATTTATCTGCATACTCGTTGTTGCACAGCTGTGGAACAATGTGTGTGTATCGTGCCTATTTTGTAGAGTGAAACATATCAGATATGGAAGGGAGATATAAATAATGAGAATACAGATTCTTCATTTCAATGTTTTGCTGGGAACTTGTGGTTCTGCAGTAAAATGTGTCACATGTCCTCCTTTGAATCCTATCTAAAGAGAATGAGTTAGACAAAACTGAGGTCTTTGAGAATAAGTCTTTTGTATGAGCTGCAGATGTGTGTGTTCTGTTTCAAAACTCATGGCTTTGCTCTGTTGCTCATAGTGTGCCAGCCACCATACCTCTCAGTCTGAGAAATATGAAGAGCATCAGGGGTTTTTTTTATACTGAGAGGAAACTAAAGTTGCAGATCCAATTAGCATGGCTACTTCAGGCAGATCCATCTTCTGGGAAATGCAAGAGCAGCAAAGGCGTGTTTCCAGAGAGGTAACAACAGCTACATTTGGGGAAGTGATCTGCAGTTGACAGATTATGCTGTCATGGTAAACATTGCTGGGTTGTTCTTTGCTCTATTCCTGCTCAGATTTAAAGTGAGGATGGCATGTTATAGACACGTGTCCAGCTCAGTCTGTGTGACAGCTGAAGTAATCTGTGGCACACACTGGTGTAGTCATGAGACGTTTCAGGAACAGCTTTCCCCATAAATCCTCTAGCAGATATTTCTGTTCTTTCTAAACCTTTGTGTTTATTCACAGAAGGTTTTGAAAGGACAATATTATCAAATGTAATTTTCTGTATTATCAAAGCAGAAAACAAGGACTTTTGGTGGCAGGTAAGATTTCAGTAGACCACTCTGTCTTCTCAAAGCCTATACAAATGAAAGCTTTTCTTCCAGGCATTCCTAGTATCCTTCGTAACTCCAGTAGTGTCTTGCTCTTTCTACAATTTTTCCAGGTAATTCAGATTTTTCCTCAATGTCTCAGATCTCTTTTGGGCTGTGGTATACATCTACAGTTTGAATGAAGTTTGCCCATTATTTTTTGCCAGTAACTGGCTCAAGAACTGGTTGGTGTTGTTAGACTTGCAGGGTTTGTGGTAGCAAACTTTAAATTGTGAGTCTTTTAATTAGTAAAATAAATATTCTGTGCAAAAGGAGAGCTTAGAGGAGACCTATTTCTTAATGTATCTCACATTGCACATTGGGGGGGGGGGGGTGGGGTGGTTTCCTAAACTTGTTCTTCTGTTAAGTTAAACAGTTAATATTTCATACAGCCATTACATAGATACTGAATTAGTCCAAGTGTCGAAAGATTCAGAAATTTCTCACAATTATATTTTGTCTGATAATAAATCCAATTGTCAGAAGATTAAGATTTCTTTTTTAATGTTGATTTCAATTTCGAGATCAGATGCCCACATAATTTTGTCTTCCTCTGAGAAAAAATAAGTTTGTGCAAAATTTCTAGCAGTTACAAGAATGCTAGCATATGTCACAGATTTACACTTAAGTAAATTTATATCAATTACTTGTAGGAGGACTTTTAATATGATTAATAGTGGAAGATTAATTTAATTTATTTTTATTCTATTTTTATTTAGTAAGAGAAATTTTGAATGTTCTGAAATAAAACCAAATTGTACTGTTTAATTTTATTTGCTCACAAGATGCATAAAATATTCAGTATAACTTGGAAAATATAAGAAATGTAAATAAATAGTTGACAGTAACAAGAAAGAACTCTATATTCCTTGAATAAAAAAATGTATTTTTCAGATTTCAGTGTTAGAGAGATGTATTTATTTCAGGTGCTATTAGCTTTGTTGCCTTTTGTACTCTGGTTAATGCCAGTGTTTTGGAGTTTGGGGGGAAATCAGTCTGGTTTTTTGCTTTGTTTTGTTGGTTTGTTTTATTTTGATTGGCTGGGGCTTTTTGTTTGGTTTTGGTATTGCTTTTCTTCTTTAAATAAAGAATCTGGAGAGTATGTAGTTCAAAAAAATACCCTAAACTTGGCAATATGTCTTAATATTGATGGTGTTCCATCTGTGTAGTTCTGGCTCTGAATATGAACATTTCCCTTGGTATCTCATGGAAAACTATTACAGGCATATTAATAACTCCTGAGAATTTCCTTAATCCTCATTTTGCTAATCTTAACTTTTAGTAATCTACACTCAGAGCTGACAGTTTTGCCACTATTACCAGTGACTTTCAAGAGTCCTGTAGTCTTAATTTTTTATACTTCTGTTGTATTTACTAGACTAACAATTGTAATAAAATAAAAGTTGTCTGAGGAAGCCAGGTACATTTCACAACACATAATCCTGACTATTTAAGGAAACAATAAGAGATAATAAAATATACTTTGCCTAATGTTAATATTTCTTCTTTTCCTGCTATTTATTAAAAAAAAAAAA